TTCCGGCGAGTTTAGCTTATCATGGAAGACATTCGCGTGCGTTTAAATTAATGACAATTTCACCCCTCGTCTCGCTAACGCTCTCGTCTCTTCTCTCGCTAATACCCTCGATTTCTTTGTTCTCCTCTCAAATCTCAAACGATCGATTCAGTCACTTGAACCACATTGTGAGATGAAACCGGAAAGATAACCACGCCAGCTATGAATGAACACTGTTCGAGCTGCATAAGCCGGCGCAGTCGGCTGGCGCACAGTCGGTTCGATATTGGCCTAGACAAAACCGGAAATCTGAGTGACAGCAAGACCGATACATTTTACGTCATGCGCATTTCTCTGAGTGTGAAGGTCATTACGAGCATCCACGTGTATTCCGATGGCATTTCTATTGAAGTCGCACGGCGCGCGTTACATTTATTTCCAACACCGCCCTTTCTCATTCAATAAACTGATAAGTCCCGCTGCATGAGTGATGCGCCATTGAAACGTCTGAAAGAAAAGGAAATAAGAAAAATATCACATCTTTTTATAACGACCATTGTTTTCCTCACCTGTTTATCGCTCTAACAAGCATAAATCGCGATGTCTTAATGGAGTGTCTTGAGACCCGGAAGAAAATACGGTTCTTTTCGGAAAATAGAGTGTTACGTCGTGTCTCGTGTTTCTTCCCTCGGTCTACAATTCGTATGATCCGCGCGCGTTTGCGGAACACGCGAGGAAATAACAAACAATTACTAACATTTAGCTGCTCGTACGCGATACTCGTACACGGCGAACCATTGGTTGCCCGCAGAAATTACGCGGAACTAGACGATGGGCGCATCCTGCTGCTCTGTGCCGGTTGTCGGATATGCTAGGCTAGTGTTTTATTACGCGTGGCAAATAATCAGAAAGTTCCAAGCGGAAGCGACGCGCAATTCGTTTCACCAAGGTCCCCGCGCAAAGTGGTCAAAGCGATTCGTCGCGCTCTTTAAATTGTCGTTAATGTTATTCAAATATAACTGTTTGTCGAAAATGCATGTTTTTTTTTGCCGCTCTCGCAATTATTTTCTCACGCACGCGACAGCGCGCAATTTTAACCGCAAAAATGTAAACCTATTACGAAAATTGTATAAAATTATACGAGTTATACGATTAAAGAAAATTGTTATATTTTATAAAAAGAAATTAATGAGGCGCGTATATAAAATTTGATATATTACACGTCTGTGCATGCCGTGCAATGCAATAAATTTTATTCAGCACACAATAACGGCGGTAATTCACGTTTTTGAGAGACGAGGACTATTCGCTAAGAGCAAAAATATCATTTTCTATCGTGAGCAACGAATGTGGGACAAGGCCACTCGCCAGGGCGAAAATATTATAAATGTAACGTACCTGCCGCTACCATTCGCACCCGGCGACCCCGTCAATTTTACTATTATACTCAATAGGACCTGTCAGAGCAGGCGAGTTAGGTGAAAACGCGAGCACAGCCGCAGAGGGGCGAGCGGACGAATTGATTCCGCCAGAGGTGCCGGGAATCCTTTTGCGCCGTTCAAGGATGAAGCTGACGTTTCAATCGCCTTGTCCTGGATTCGGACGACTTTCCCCCTCCGTGTCCCTCCCGGCGGGTAAGTTCGCCCCCGGGAAAGCCGTTCGGACTCGAGGGGGGCCCTTCGCTCGATCTAAGACCGCCAGCTGCGCCGGCTTTTACCGCGCGCTCGCAATAATTGGCTAATTAAGTCACCCTCGTAGCGCGCATCGGTGTCCTGATAATTTAGTCCCTGGCTACTCTCTGATCTCTTCCTGCGACACGCGGCGCGATGTGGGTCAATTGCTGCGCGTACCATAAAACTGTTGACCAGGCGGATTCATTCGACACATCCGTCAATGGTTTACGAGCGGTTATATGACTACGGGCCGCGTTGTAGGGCTTGACGTTTTTGCGGCCACTACGCGGCATTTAACGCGCCCATCAGCGCTCGGAACACAAGGCCATCTTTCATTTACGGATCCTTCGATTCATTTAACGTGGGCTTTTTTTCGAAGGGCCTCGATAGACTGTTCTTACGTTAGACGCGATCGAGGATAAATGGGGGCTCAAAGATGTAAATGAACAGTGAGATCTTTCTTCGAGCTTAAATAAAAATTGAGAATTAACCGAGAAAAGATCGACTCCAAATTGCTCGTAAAAAATCCATAGCCGCTCGCTAAATCTGGGACATCTAGGATAATTTATAGTCGACACGTGAGATTTGCGTTCTTCCTCATAATAATTGCGGAAGGCGAGGGCGATCCGCCTCCGCACGCTTCAACTCTTTATAGAGACATTGCGATAATAATATCCCTATTATTGTGACAAATCTGTATAAAATAGTTCTACATATAAACTAATGTACTCTTTTTATTCCTCGACGTTGTGATTTGTAAAGGGAATCAGTTTCACTTTGATACGTACACACAGTTATACAAATTTAATATATTGGGGATATAAATATTCACAAGGAGAGGGAGAATTTGACTTGCAAAATAATATACAAACACTGCCGGTCGAGAGGCTACATTTAAAGGATTGATTTTCGCAATCCAGTTTCCGTTTCTATAAACAGTGTGCTTGAAATGTAATTAATTATTGTCAAACGTAATTAATTGATCTTTTCCCTCCGGAGGTAAAATTGCAAATTTGCATCAACCGTGCTTCGTACATTGTCCACAAATAATCCATTGCATATGTTTTTTCACAATCGGCTGACGGTTGATTCCTCTTTTCAGCCGTCTAAGCAAGCACGTGATACACGCGCCGCTTATTGCTTATAGCAGGACAAACGTAGGCAGCTTCCGCTCGCCGGACTGTCTAGCAAACTGCGCAAACAACAAACCGGCGCAGGCAAGTGCCGTGCGTAGGCGGCACGATAACGCACATGTGCGACGCGGCGGGACGCCTTTTCTTTACTTTCCCAGTGCACGGGATCTGCGGACCATCGCGTGAACATTCGGTGTGGAAAACTTAGTTGGGAACAGTTGGATCCCCCGCTGTGGGATTCACGTCGGAGTGAAACTTTTGTCCTTCCGCACGCGTGGGATACTGTCTTCTTGCAGTTTCGTCACGTTCTTCACGTCACGTTCGCTCGCAATAATACGATCGGTAATCACTGATGTGTTACTGTGATTTCGTCCAATTTGTCGCGGGATACGACGACAGTGTAATTCTTTCCCGCAGCGTTTTGATTTCAAGTTTTATTTGTACCACGGAGCGTGTTGAAAGCGTACGATCGTCGATTTCGATACCAGAGTGACTTCGCACACTTAAAAAGATATTTCACGCTAAGGAGCTCCTCGAATCTCGTTTCGTTAAAAGCGCTCTAATTTTATCGCGTTACATTTTACCTGCCAATTTGTCGCAATTTGAAGCAAAAGGTCGGGAAACGATTAGCGCAGATCGATGGACAGCCGGTATCGGTTTACTCGCACGCGTGTGCCAGCCGTGCGAATACTTACACGCGCCGTATACACTTGCGATCGCCGATACCTGCATGTCCTGGCGGTGCGCGCACGCGGTGTCCAATGCAGTTAGGACATTTTACGCTCACGCGCGCGCTTTCGTACGTGAATGCACGGATAAATACCGTTCGTCGAGCGCATCGACGACGGCGACAGACACGTAGACATGCTTGCCGTGATATTATCGGCCGCCTTTACGTGCACGGACACACTCGCGCTGCCGCGACGGTATGCGTCTGCTCTCGGACGAGAAGGACTCGCCGCCGAGCTTTTTGCTTGGTCAAGTCGAACGATCCCGCTGTTTCAACAGGCGAGAGATATACCGTTCGCCAACCGAACGCCATTTCGGACCGTGTAGGACCACTCGAATTTCATGGGATATATCAGTCCTTTTATCTTTCGGTATCCGCGCACTCGTGTACTTCATTCAAAGTTCTCGTTCGTTGGAAAGTTTCTCCGCAATTGTTTAACAAGCTTAATAATTAATTTCAAAATTAAAACTTATATGTTTATATATATTTCTATTTATCTTTATTAAATTAAAACTTTGATAGATAAAGTAAAAATAAAACTAGAATTAATGCGAGTAAAATTACTTAGTCAGTTTTTAATAAAATTTGATATTTGAGTTTTCCTCTTGAGTTAAATAAAGCGGAGACTGTAATAAATTTTACTAAAATTAAAGTTCAAGTTAAATTTGGTTAAGCCAAAGTAAAATATAACATTAACGATATCATTCACGACGGCAATAATGACTTTGTTGAAGGTTTATTTTATAGTGTGAAGGACCTAGCTTAATTAGCTTACGATTGAAATTTATTGAGCCGTTGCTTTGTCGAATCGCGCTATTGTTATCGTTCTAATTTATACGTCGTGTGGTATCCGATATAAATAGATATAATGGTCTATGAAGTTCTTAAAAGCCATCGTCGGCCCTGCGCGCGAGTACGCCGACCAATTTAAGCGGCATTGTTACGAGAGAGTCACGAATGGGAGATGCCTTTCGGTGCGATCGCGTAAATTGGAACGACTATTGATATGAGAGCGGGATCCGATGAAGAGAGGGCTACAGGTGCTCTCCTCCTCTCCGTGCATTTTATCCTTTTGTAAAACGAACAGGTAGTCCCTGCATTGTAGAGTCGGTATTATGGTAATGGTAGGCGTCTGGTCGCGATAGTATTGAATGCGACCGGCCTGATAAATATTAAACTAGGCGCGAGAGAACTGGTACTTTCTCACTCGATAGTCGAGCGAGTGCTCTCCGCGTGCTTTAATTCTAGTCTGCGCGAAATTTCTTAATGCTCCCGCGAAACAATAATTCTCAGTCTATTGCGAAGACGGGTAGATTATTTTTATTTGTTTCTTTAGCGTCGGATTTATAATTCTTGCTTTCAAATGGACACACATGTAATAAAATTACATACTTGCAGAGAGAGAGAGAGAGAGCGTTGATAAACCTTTTCCTCTTTGGCATTTCTACTTTTGACGTCTAATGATTTTATTTTCGTCTTTTCCAGGGAGCAGACAATAGCTCGAAAATGGGGTTGAGACGGCGGCGTAACAAACTGAGCGGGACGTCGACGAGGTAATCAGCTTAGACCCCGTGAAGAAGATGATGACTGCCATGGCTCGGTTGCCCTGCAAGCAATCATCCTCGCCCTCGCAGCAGCCGAGAGTGAACAATTTCGGAAACAGCCGGAATCCTTACTGGGACATGCAGCAGGCCAGGCATCCTGCACCGCCGTATGTCAGAAATCATCATCGGCATACCGATTATACAGGTGAGAGCCCAGCGAATGCATTGCGAATCGCATCGCGAATCGATGCGTCAAGCCGCCTTTCGACGCGTGTATTTATTTTAAAAAAGAAATTTATGCACGCGTTTCGAGTCGCTCGAAGTTCTGTCTGAAATGGAACGAATTTCTATCTCGTAAATTCACCGGCGGATGACCAGTGATTTTATGCTGGTTTCCGCCTATGATTTCCGTCTATTATTTGTTAACGTAAAAAAAAATATATATCCGCATTCGTAATATAATAATTTTTCTATAAAAATACAGGATATTATTAATTTCAAATTCTTTTCTGAACGATAAATCAGTTCTTTTGTGAACGATAAATCAGTCGTTTGCTAGGATGAAAGATTAATCATTGATGGTTTTTAAAATTTTTGTTGTTGTCAAATAACACATTTTTCAAGCAAATATATTGCACTTGTCGATATGTTCCGATAGAAAAAATTATTCGTTCGATTTTCCAGCCATATGAAATAGACTCGACAACAATTCGGCTTATCTTCGTCATTAACGTCCTATTGTGCGAGACCGTGTCACGTCCGATTAAGGACGAACGCCGATAGTCCGATAGCCCCGTTTCGACAATTTATAGCGAATGCAATGGCGCAATTCGACCCGACAAATTCAACATTACGATAACACGTCGCCATGTACTCGGCGAGTGACCTACGATCTCGAGGGTCGGACATCAATTTTCTCTAACCACGATAAAATAGATTTAGCACGAAAAGAAAGAATGGGGAAATATTAGCTTGACTATATATTACATTAAAAATATTTGCGAAAAATATCCATCACAAAAAAATCAAAATGACTTGAAACTATGTAGCTGAAAATGATTGAAAAAAAAAAGACAGGATATCATTAGTTTCAAATTATTCTTTTCTAAACAATAAATCAGTCAATATAATTAGCTTGCTAGGGTGATTGACGATTTTTGAACTTTTTTGTTGTTGTCAAATAGCACATTTTTCAAACAAATATATTGCACTTGTCAATATGTCCCGATAAAAAAATGAAACTATCAATCAAAGTTGAAACTTGGATGGAAATATCAACTGCACGCAGTTAGAAAAAATGTATAAATTTAATAAAGTTAAAATTAATTCTGTCGCTACTGTTTAAAGCTAACGCGCTATTATACCGCGATATCAATAAGCCATTAATATCGAATCAATGAGTCAATAAAAAGATAATCATGCCGCATGAACGAGCGTTGAATAGAAAGGTAGAAAGGCCATCGCTTCTTGCACTCTCGTCGCCGATTTCGCCATATGCACGACACAATATGTGTCCTTGAACGTTGCTGGCTGTCGTTCGGGCTCTTTTTATCGCCGCTATGTGTCCCCGCCATTATCGCAGTCGGTGGTTGTCTCTCCGGGGAAACGCGCCGGGTTTTATCTTTTCGTTACCACGGCGGCTGGTATGCTCTCTACGGGGACATGTGCGTGTCGGCGACGGGACACATGTCGTCAATCAGCAACAGTGCGAGACCCCGCGCGCGAAAACAGAAGGAGAGCGCGCAGATGCCGCCGTTTCGTCGGCGTTGTTCGCCCGTCATTAACACTCGCCCTCCGCCGTTCAGCACACACAAGCCATACGTTTTACTTGCGTGCTTCTGAGATACTTATGCGCACGTGTGTCTCCGCGCTCGATGACGCGATCGGTCGATGATGCACACAAGAATAGACCAGAACATCGCGCGGCGGAGATATGAGAAAGAAAGTATTATCAGTGTTCAGAAAGTCGCGTATATTATATTTACGCTCATCGATGCTAATATTTGAGAAAAAGATTAACGTCGTGGCAAGGATTAATTGCGAATGAGAGAACATCTTTGATTGGAATAAACCGTGTTCTATTTATATCTTGTTTTGAAATTCGAAAACGTATGTGTATTTAACTGATGAACGTATGTGGCTGATCAACGATTTCAAACAATATTTTTTAGATTTTTAAGAAAGCTACGGGATCCGTGAAATTTGAGAAATGCAATGTCAAACATCATTTAACATTGAGTTTTTTTTTTTTTACGTTGAGATCACATGCAGGTTTTCTACATATCGAGAATATCCGGTTTGTGAAACCGCGCGGAACGACATTTTCGCCAAATTGCCAATTAATATATATAAGTAAGATTGTAGGAAAGCGCGCTATAATTAATGGCAGAATTCTATTTCATATGCAGCAGTCATTCGTATGCCACATTAGCTCTCTGCCATGCATCTTAATGTATGCTTCGAATTGAATACTAAACAGCTGTATCTTCTACTTGCAATTATTTGGAACAATGAATTACTTTCATCACGTCGCCTTGCTCGATCATAGAGTTTTCTATATTGCGAAACTTTCGTGTGCTCTGATAATTAAAAATAGATACAGATAATGATACATTTTTTTTCAATAAGCGATGCATCGCTTTTTTGCCGGAGATAAACTTCAAATAAGCCCCGGTATCTGATGAAACGCGACACTTCCGAGACACCCGATAAGCTTAACATAAATCAGAGATCAAAGGCTCAGTTGGGAGCTAATATTCTAAAAAGCGGATGGTAGTTTTCATAAATTCAGCCTAGGTAGAGCCCGGTGCGTCATGTGTCGCACATGTTTTAACCCGACAGGCGAGTATCTGGCCCGAAAATGGTATTTCCTTCCAGGAAGCGGGATTATTTACGCCGCAATGTCGCTTACGGCGGCCCTCTTACCGGATTCTTTTTTTTTTCCACATGCGCGTCGCAGGGAAGCGGAAGAGCGCCGTGGAGTTGCTGCAGGAGACGAAAGCCTTTTACGTGAAGAGCGAGACCGTGCTGGATCGGAAGCAGGAGCTGAAGAACAGCGGCCACCTACAGGTCTCGCAGCTGAGCGCTCCGGGCGCACCGCCTGCCAGATTGCTGCGGAAATGCACCGGCAACTCGTCCGCCTGCCCTATGCAGCCGACGTCGCCGTCGCAACTGCAGCCGACCCCCATGACGCCGCCCTGCTGCTGGGCCTCGTGTCATGAACAGGACAGACGTAAGTCCAGCCGTTAAAGCCTCGTGGAGATCTCGCAAGCCCGTAAGGGATGCGAGTGCGATGTCTCAGCGCAAGCTGATAATCCCGGATCGAAATTCGTCGCCTTGAGATAAATTGTCGCGTCTGATGTCGCGCGACATCAAGTGATTTATCATCATTTTGTGCACGAAAAAAAGTCTAGAAGTAAAAGAAACTTTTCTTTCAAGTTTGAATCTACGAACATTTCTTCCGACTTCCCGAAATGTTTCTTCAATTTTTCATTTACGATTTATGTGCATTGTGCGAGGCAGCGCAAAGTGTAACCGCTGTGTTTGCAGTAGACGGAATTCTGAGTCCTCAACAAACACTGCCACCCGCGCTGCCACCGAAGAGTCCACGTTTGGTCCCGGTTCCCCAACGACGGACGATTTCAGGGCCCCCGAGTGGTACTGGGGGTGATCAGTTGCAAAACAAGCTGCGTCGACTGCTGAACACCGACAGCAAGGAAAACGTATTCTTTCCCGAGAGTCCGCCGCAGAGTGCGGCGCAAAGCAACGGCATACCGTCGAGGGAGGAGAAGTTCCGGTATTCACCGGGAAGTCTCTCGCCCGGCTGTCGAGATGAGGATCGCGTTCTGGTGAGGAAATCATGATATTCGACTCTTGCGTTGCGCCCGCAATAGTCGCCATACATCTTTTGTCTAATCATATCTATTAATTTTTACGCCAAAATGTGTTCTTGTTAAAAAAAACTTACTTATATTTCATTTAATAATAATTGCGTTGATTACGTCGTTGCATATTGTATTACTTGTGTGTTTCGCAGCGTTGCGCGCCGCAGGATATTCGTTTCAAGTTCGGCAGAAGCAATTCGCACTCACACACGTCTGGGAGATCCAGTCGAAAATCAAATAACTCCCCGTCGGTGGAAAATACGATATGTCACAAGTCCTTGCCGGATCTGCACACGAGCACACGTCGTCGGGCGTCACTCTCGCCGCGCGCGTCCACGAAATTGTCTGCGAAGCCACCCGCTCATCACCAAGCCACGAATACGAGCAATTGCCCGGATTACGAAACTAGTTCGGATTATTCGGATCACAGTTTTAAACGTGACGCCTTTTGTTATCGCAGGCAAGTATTTTCAACCTTAAGCTTTTCAATACCGATACAACTTTTGACCGATAAGTTTACTTTGTGTAATTTCAAGTCAAAAAAGTGATCGATTAACAGCCTTTTTTTATCGATTTTCAGTTCGCGACATATTCGACGATCTTTAGGATCTGGCGGCGGCGATGCGAGCAGCGTGTTATCCTCAGGTGGGCGTACGCAGAAGTCATCGGGTTCCAGTAAGCTGAGCCACGGCGCGACAGCCAGAGACTCCGGCGGCTCTTCTGGACATTGCACTCATCGTAGCGAACCAGCACCCAGAATACAAGTACAGATATATTAAAGAAAAATATATATTTCAAATACGCTGTTCGGTTTTAATAATCATCCATTTCTTGCAGGACTGTTGGACCCATATACGCAGAGATAGCGGCGCATCCACGCAACATTCTACCGAGAAAGATCGATCAAGAAAAGGCAGCTATATTGGCGGCACACTGCCTTCCGTTGTGAGACATTATAGTCCGGATTCTGAAAGCAGCAACAGTCAAACAGATTATAGTCCAACCTGCAACTCAAGGTATTGAGATGTTTTTTTTGTTTTTTAATTATTTGATGTACGTAAAAAATTTAAAATAGATCAGTGCATCATTATTTAAAGAAAATTGACGATATATAACATCGTTTGTTGTAATACAATTTGCGATATTAGGTTTTCTGACGGTTGGAAGGAAGGTCGCGGTCGGCCGATTCTAAGATCAAAATCAGACATCAGCGACCGATACTGGCGTCAGGATAACGGCCGTTCCAGCAAAGTATCTTCTCGCCCACCACGATCGATGACTCAGCTCGAGAACTTTTTCGACCGTTTAGGATTGGACTCTGACAACTATCAGCGTATAACGGAACCCGATTCGAAATCGTCGTCGCCCGTATTCTTCGATAGCGTCAGCTCCGTAGATTCGGCGCTGGGTCTCTATTCCTGGGTCGGTAGTAGCCAGACGAACCAAGGCAGCCAGTGGCAAAACAACTGCAGCATCGGTATGGGTAACGATGAGTGCAACCAAAGGGTAAATGATCCGCCGAGTATCGTCGAACGAAACGCACGTATTATCAAGTGGCTTTGCCAGTGTCGCAAAGTGCAGTTAGGATACAGTTAAACAACGAGTTTCGCAACGTGGATAAATTCTTTATTTTCAAGAACAATATACTTTAATCAACGAGACATTAGCGTTTGCCATTCTACAAATGATATATCAAATATCGTGCAGAAAGATTTGTTTCGTGTAAATGTGGAATTGATTGACGCTTTTTATCCTCCTTTTTACTACTTGCATAATTTAATCATTTAAGAATTTTCATCGATCCTATGTTGATTGCTTATTAAGAGGACGATTATTGTCGTTTTAATTTATTGTCCCTAACAATAGATGAATCTGTGCCATTTTATAATTACTTGTTACGATTATATGTGTTGTGCCTTTCGTCAAATTATCCTTATAAATTCAGGGTAAAACGTCTTCAAATTTACGTGTGTTTCAAAATCTATATTTTAATATAAAATATTTGGTGAATAAGAAATGTACGGTGATGTCTAATATTTTTGAAGGCACATTGAGAAATTCTCGCTTATATATAATATTCTTCTTGAACAAAAATTCGTTATTACGTTTTAATATTATTATCTTGTAATAAGTCTATGATATGTTACGCGAATTTTTTCTCTATTTAGCAAAGCAATACTAGATTATTACAAAATATTAACAAAGTTGTGCATAAAAATTACGGATTTTATTACATTTTGATGTAAAAAAAAAATACAAATTTAGCAACACGTTTTGTTTTTAATATTAATATTATTACTTGGTTTGTAGAAAAAAATTCTCGAGTGAAAGATATTTATCTCAAACTTATGAAAACTTATAGATCTAATTTCATAAAAAGAGATTAAAAAAAATGTTGCCTTTGCTCTTGTTGGTTTCTAAAAACCACACATATTTAAAGTAAGCGTTCAATTGATGTTAATATTTCATAAAATTTAGGGGATGATTGATGAGGTATACAAAATAGCTTGGTGTTAACCAATAGATAAAAATATGATTCAAATTTTGTAGTTTAGTAGAAATTGATGTGATTTACATTAATACTGTATAAAGTGAAAACGCTCATTCAACATCATTCTATTTTAATAATAATCTACAAAGATTTATGCTAGCTTCACTATAATAATCTTTATACTCATCAAATTTCATTTTAATATTGTACAATATGAATCATACAACAAAATGTGAATCATAGTAAATGTCTATTTTCTAAATTTACTTAAGATTGAAATCCAATAATACGCTGTATTTACGAAGACTGTGTGAAATCTACAAATGATATTAGCTTGGTATGTGAATCTTCATGTAACGCGTAACGCACGTTCAATTCCATTTGTATTGCTTTCTAAGTTATTGCACAGAGATTTAACCTTGTACTTACAAAGAGGAAAATGGAGAACTAATGTTCGATTATGCAAATGAATATTTCATATTTCGTGGCCGCAGATTTTTTTATATTTTAATAATGAATTACTCTTTTAATTACACATGGCAATAGTACTTACAGTTCCTTGTTTATTTGATTTTTGTTATTTTTTAATCTAATATTTCATTGTAATTAATATATGACGGCAATGCACATTTTGCAAAGAATAATATTTCATCTACGCATATGTATTTATGCTATTTTTTTAATTGACTATAGATATATTGAAAAGTATAGAATTGCATAACATATACGTATAATTATCTTGCGAATAAGAAGATTCAATGTCTGCATTGCCTGTCTTTTATTTTTTTCAATGAGAACACTTCTATTTTTGCTGTGCAATAACAAACACAATCTTTATCTGCGTAATAGAATTTAATTATTCATGTTTTCCTACTATTTAGTTCTCCCTACTCTATGGCAATCAAATAGTAGCGTAAAAAATTTTAAAAATTTACAAGATGTTACACTTATGTGATTCATATATTCTTATAACACGCGATTTGTGTAATATAAAATAGAGTTATTAAATCTTCTTTTACTTCAGGTGATATAGATGTTCTAATGCGTAATTAACACAGTTTTGCATAGTTTATAGCCGAAGTATGACAGCGTTCCAATAAGATGGAAAGAAATTGATACCATTACCTATGTAATGAAACTTTATATTCTTTTTAAGCAAGCAGTTTCAATGACTCTATATACAAGGTGTCTCGGGCATTCTGTATCCATTGCACACATTTAGAGGCCAAATTAAAATCTAAGTAGATTTATTTTCCTATCAAAGCACATTGATAATTTTACAGTTCCAAATGACTGAATATTACAGGATTTCGGTGATTGAACTTCGAATTTTTAATTTGAGATTTAATCACTAAAATATTGCGTGTTAAAGATTAAGAAATTACATCAACAGGTGGCTTTACGATTAACTTCAAAGCAGCCAAAAGAACTAACATTGGGAACAAATTTGCGGTGCTTGAGACACTGTGTATAAGGTATTAGATTGGCGTAATAGTAGTATAATAACTAGCGTTTGCTATACTTACGATGCTCGACAAGGATATATAAACAAATTTATAAAGTTTGTAATCGCTGCTATAGTAGTAAAATGTAAAGCGTATTGCACAAAATTAGTCATGCGACAAAATTAGACATGCTTGTAATGTATATATATACATATATATATTTCCAAAATTTTGAAGTCATACAATCTTATTTTTCATGAATAGAAATATCTAGACGTAGCATTATACTGTGCATTTATACACATTTTAGGATTAACATTGCGGAACAGAAATTATTGGAATTGGATTCATACAAAGAATGACAGTGAAGACATTAAGTTAGATAGAATTAGGTTCCAGCTTGCATAATAGGTTCTACCATACACCTGCTTTGTAAATTATGATTTTTAATTTCAAGCAGGATATTTGAGAACAATAAATTTATGTACAAATTTCACTTTATGTCAGTACGAGATAGAGTTGCTATGTTACTAAAACGTATGACTAAACGCTTATACAATTTTTACGTAATGTCATATTATCTTATCAATTAAGTTATCAACAAGTTATTAATTGGAAAAAGAAATTATAGTTCTCTTTTTGTATATTTTCCAATGTTTACAGCTACGTATATGTGTTTTAAGGGTTAGTCATCTCATTTCATAAGTGTCTTTTTTTTAGATAGTATTCTACTTTGTTACTCACAGAGTATATTTTGTAAGAGTATATTTTGCTGTTGCGATTTTCTCTCTCACAATGCATTCTTTTCATACCTATAATGAATCTCGAGAATTAAGAATATCAAAACACATATTAGAAGCACGGAGAAAATTTAATGATAATTGAAGGAATTTATATAACATAAGACATTTAAAGCTTTCTGTCGCAATTTTCTTAATCTTTCACTTTCAAGCGTCTCAAGTGCAAAATACATACATATATCCGTGTATTACGAATTATTATAAAAATTCATTTATATTTCCTATTGAGGAGCTTGAGTATTTTTGTATATGTGTAAGTACAAGATGAATTGAAGCTCTTTTTGTAAATTTAGATAAGAATGCGCACTTACATTGTGAAATTTTCAATGTATCTATATAATATTTTGTGATGCATAATATTTAATATTGTTAAACCCATGAATTTTTAATTGCTTTTATAATCTAGTCATGTAGAAAACAGAATATGTTAAACTTCAAGATATTATTAAATTCCTTCTAAATATTATTGAACCCTTTTATTTATTATCCCGCAAACATTCTCTACAATAAATTATAAAAATACAAAACGCATTATTTTTTATTGTTTTGTTCGCTGTAAACTTGTAGTTTAATAATGTCAAAAATTTATAAATTTTATTCTATTTCTCATTCATGGCTTAAGAAAGAGGGATAAAAGTAGTTGAAAAAAGGAAGTTTTGAAAGTTTCTGAAATAATAACACACACACACACACACAACTTGTTTAATTCTTTTTTGATATAGTGTATAATCTTATTTGAACACTTTGAGATTTTATCAATTTTAATTTATATGATTAAAAATAATTTGCACATCTTTTTTCGTTTCTAGAAATTCGTCAGTTAATTAACTACAGCAATTTAATTAACAATAGTAAACTTTAAGAAGATAAAACTAGACAATGGAAATCTTTTCATAATTTTATAATCATTTTGAGAATGTAAATACTGTCATACTGTCATACTGTTAAAGTTAACTAAAATATAATTAAGAATTGTATATTTATTTTATCAAAGTTAAGAACCCGACTTTTAAGATTTATTTAACAAATTATTAACAATTGGGATTTTGAATTTTACAAAAAATATCTTCCAGAAGCTTTAAAAAAGACATATGATTTATTTCAGAATTTTATCTGTATTTAACACTGTCAAAAGTAGCCCTGAAGCGAAAATAAGCGTGTAGAAAGCATGCGGTTATATATATATATGTTAGAATAGCCCTGAATCAGTCGATTTTAGCCGGGATTTGGTGAAATAGTTAACAGGAGCACATGATGATCGAGGAGCTCGTCGAGAATAGCGCCATCTTTTGATCAGATGTTGCAACATGACGAAACCACTGATGGTAAGTGTGCTGATGGTAAGTGTACCGATGGTAACTCGTCATTGCAATAGCTCCTCTATCATCATGTGCTTCTGTTAACAATTTCGCCAAATCCCGGCTAAAATTGACTGATTCAGGGTGTGCCAACGAGCAACTGCACCCTTTCTACATACTTATTTTCGCTTCTGGGCTACTTTTGACACTGTTAGAATGCTAATAAAATTCTTAAATAATTTACACATCTTTTTTAAGGTTTTCGGAAGATATTTTTTGTAAAATTGGAAATTGAAATGAATAAAATCTTCGAAAAATTCTTGAAAAATTTTTGAAAAACTTGTAAAAGTCACGCTTTCGATTATACGCAGTTCTCTACGATTACGTGTCCAATTCTGTCCATTGCTGTTTAAGCGGGGCCGCGTCTCTATTCTCATCTGATAACATAACATCTCTTTGCTTGAAATTCATTTTCTTGATTTCTATACAGCGTACATAGTTTATGGTCACGTTGTGCGTCCGAAGAGACAGTGTCATTGTGGTGATCGGTAGTGATGTGGAACTTTGGAATAGTGAAAATATGACGAAAATAAACCCCTTTCTAAATGTTTTATTTCCACTGTTTGCGATACTTTTGTGTATAATATCGCAATGCTTAGCCGCGCTATCCGACAAACAATTATGTTACGACTCCAATTGTTCGGGTAATTGAAGCCATACTTTAACTCTAAAACTAAAAGTCACAACACATTTTTTTATTTTACTCAATTGCACGTATGTTATAAATATTATGTTGCTCTTTTCTTGTATTTAGAACCCGTTTCATTGGCCAAGACCATAATGGCTTACGTACCAAACGACCGTGAGTTGATGTCATTTGCGAACAATGTAGATGTTAAAGTTTTTAGCAAAGGTGCTGGAAAGAGGATAGATTTATGGGGCGTCGAGGTATGCCTTATTATCCTTCTACATTCAATATTATTAAATAAAATTGCTATGTTGCATTTCTATTATGCATATTTTTCAATCTTTATTTCTTGTTACATTTGTCATTGCTGCTGTTTAAATTGATATTGGCGTATTAGACAAATATATTTCAGTATATACTTCTTATTCCAGATAAATGGCAAGCGTGGATTTGTACCCAGAAGTTTTCTTAAAGAATACAAAATTCTAAGAGGTGACTTGTCCTATGAAGTGCCTGTTCCTAAGTACACTGGCGAAGTAAAGAAAGTTCAAACCAACAAATTTGAATCTGCAGAGGAAGCGCATAAAACACAATCTCTATTGACAACTCTTCCTTTAAAAAGAAAATTGTCTCATGATGATGAGGCATTACCATTGGATAAAATTGTAGATAAAAATGTACAAGAATCTGAAGTGGTCAATGAAAATAGCATATTGTCTTCCTATGAAGTAATAGATGGAACTACAGTTTATTTCGAAAATAAGCCATCTGTACAACCAAGTTTTGTATCTGAGGTTGCACATGCTACTGCATTACCAAGAAAACAAACTTCAGATACTGATTCTGAAGCAGATGCTGGATCATCATCTGACGAAAATATATTTATTAATAGTAATGAATTACAATCGGACACAGACACTGATAGTAATAAACTTGAAGGAATTGAATTACTGGTGGAAACTCATGAAAACAATACCAGCGAGATACTGTTAGAAAGTTCTGAAACAATAATCAATTCAAATTTAGACGCAGTGAACAAGAATGACAATTTGGCACTTGATAGAAGCAGTGAGTTTGAAGATAAGTCTGAAAATTTGAAACATGAAAAAGCGATAGATGCTAGTGAGGAAAACATAGAAGATGATAAGGAAGAGGAAATTTCAGAAAACACTGAAACTGAAGGTATATTTGCTTCATTAACGAAAACATTTAAAATGTTGTCTAACTCAGAGGAAGCTGAATCAACAGAAAGCATAACTACTCCAAGTAGTATTGATATTCCTGCCCCTGAGACTACTACTGAAAGTAGTACTGTTTTGCAAGAGGTTTCAGAAGATGTCAGAGTTAAAAATACTGTAATTGAAGAAGAAACTATTCCAACTACTGAGATAGAAAACACAAACATTGATGCAAGTGTTACAAGTAAAGAAAAACTAGAAATACAGCAAGAAGTTATGCAAAACGATATTGAGAGTACGAAAATTTCGGATGAAAAAATGAAAACCGAACAAGAAGCATCTGCTATACTCTCGGAAAACGCTACATCTTCTAGTGACGTGCCTTTATCCAACAATTTTGTACATGTAAATGCCGATAACTCTGTCAAAGAATCGCCAGTAGCATCTTCAATAGATGATAGCTCTGATTCTGCAAAAACTGAGACTAATAGTCATGTTAATATCCAAGTAGAAGAAACAAGTAAAGAAGAGGAAGTTACAGAAAATGTTTCGATTGAAAATGTAATTACTTCTGAAGAATCAACAGAATCATTTGATTCACAAGAAACATCTACAGAAAGCACAATTCAAAGTAGCAATGGTATTCATCAAATATTATCAGGAAATATTAAAATGCATCCAGAAAATGTAAAAAAGGATGTTGGTCACACAGACACAACTGCACAAAAAATTGGTGAAACTGATGAAATTGCAGAAAATAGTAACTTATCACCTGTCAAAGAAATAGCAAAAGATGTTACAAAAGAATCATTTCCTTATAAGATTTATAATTTCGGGGGCAATATAGCAATTGCAAACGAGACATTAGATCACAATGCTGCAGATACTCAGCTTGCTGAGAAATTAATTGTACATAATAATGTAAATAAAAATGATAACTTAACTAATGATGCTAGCTTTGACAATGTTCCTATAGAACCTAATCAATTCTCTAATGATGTGAAACCTAGCATTTCCGATTCAGAGCAATCTGCAGGTTCTAGTCAAAAAAGTATGATCTCAGAACGAATAACAACTTTCAACGAAATTCCTCAGAACCGAAATTTATTGAACATTGAAGAAGATTTGGAACATAAAAATAGTAAGTTGTCAATTAACTGATTGATAATTTAGAAAAGTTGTAGTTATATAGAATATTTAATTGATGTTGATATTAATATCAATTATATTTAAACTTATATGTTTTGTACATTTAGTTGAAGATCAGGATGTAAATGACGAAGAAATCTTGACCGAATATGGTAATCAAATAAATAGTGAAGATAAGATTTTGTATAAAGATGACGATATCAAGGAGGATAATTCGGAGAAATCAGAATCAAAATCTATATCAGATGAAGTTTGCTCACTTGATCACGAATGCACAACCGAGAGTATTGGTGGATTTTTGGAACAAGTAAGTTTTTTTATAAAATTTTGTTCATAATTAATTATTTACATATTATATAATGATTTTCTGCAACAGAAAGAAGAGCCTGAAAATAAAGAAGATAATTTCCTTGACATAAAATTGGATCATAATTATTGGAAAACACTAATATATCTATGTGTAACAGTTTTCACAACACTCGTATTTACTCTTGGATATTACTACATTGAGGTAACAATATTTTACTTATACTTGAAGTGCTTAGAGCAAAAGTAAATCAAGGCTACAAAGTTTCTTCTATCACAAAATCGTATATTTAAAATAGAGCTCATTATTTATAAATTTGACTCGTTTTTGCTCTTTATTTATATAATTTGTTACGTAAAACATTCAAATAGCATTATTAATGGAGTTTAATTATACACACATTCTTATTTAGAATATCAGAAGGGATGGTCAACTAATAGCGAGAATTAATAAACTCGAGAAAGAATTATTAGTCTCAACGAAAGAAAGTGAAGTGCTCAGCGAGAATCTAAAATCCACCAAAGACAAGGTGAGAGATATACTTGTGCAAATTAATTCTGTTACTTTTACCGTATGTTGTACTAAAATATAAATTTTTTAGTTGAATTGCATAGAAGATGAATCATTTGGTTCTAACGAAATGGTTGTATCATTAAAAACTGAATTAGAAGAATCACAGGTATGTATACAAATATATTTCATATTTTTATTACATATTTATATCAATTAAAAATTGTACGTTTTGTTATGTGTTTTTCTCTCTGTTATAGATTGTAAGGGCGGAATTAGAAGACCAGGTGACTACATTGGAGAAAGAGTTAGAAAATGCATCAGAAGCTGGATTAGAAATCGAACGTATGCTACGAGAAGTTTTGTCATCAAACAATGCGGTTAATCCACTGGCTCAATCAGTGGAAGATCTACAAGCACGATTAGATGCTCAACAAGCCGCGAACGAATCCTTAACGAACGCGTTGAATCTCAAAGCTCAAGAGGTGAGAGCAATCTGTTTATTTTGAACGTTAATATTTGTAGATTTATTTTTTATTTTTTTTTATATATAGAAGAACACTTTTTGTGATATGCATGAGTTTGAAGACTTGTTGATTATATTTGTTTTAATACATGAATATAATATATGTATGTACATGTTAATTAATGTAAGACTAAAATATAAATTTCTTTTTTATTACAGATTGAGACATTAACAATGGATCTCGTTACTGTTAAAAAGAAATGTGAGAAGTTTGAAGTTGAACTTTCGCAAGCGCGAGACGAACTGGCGACTCAGAAAAATCTGAAGAATGACATAGAAGAAACGCTAACGGATAAAGTACATAATTTAGAAAAACAAATAAACGAAGTAAGTTTATATGCATGAGTAAAAATATAATTATATATAGAAGATAAAATACGTTATTAAAACGTTCCTTTTAGGTGTCGACTGAAAAGTCATCATTATATACTGAATTAAGAAGTAAAGAAATAGAAATTGATGGACTAAAGGAAATTATTAGTCATATCAAGTCAAATAGTTTAGACTTGGAGAAGTTGTACGACGTATCTCACGTTAAAATTGAAGCAGTACAACTGCGCGAGGAGAGAGACGAATTAAAAATGCGATTAAATGATGTTGAGGGTGCTCATCAATTGCTAGAAGGTAAGCCTTGTTAAGAATAAATACGTTCTAAATTTCATCTATTATATAATTGAATTATATTTTACTGGCGACAATATTTTTATTGCTTGCAGAACATACAAAACTTATCAAGGAAGAGATAGCTGCATTGAGTGATCAATGTAAAATAGCTGAAAAAGAAAAGAAAGAAGCAGAGACAAAGCTTGAAGTGTTAGCAAAGTTCTTCAAAGAAAAAGAGGCTGAACGCCAGAAGTAAGTAACGATAAATTTTAATAGAAATTATATTTTACGCTTGAACAAGCTATTAATTTCACGATTATCTAGGGAAGAAGCCTTATGGCTGCAGAAACAAGGAGAAGTCGTATCCACGGTTGAAAGAATACATACAATGCAAAATGAGATACAGAATTATAAGTAAGCATACGATTTCATTAATTTCACAATCCTGATTAAGAAAAATTTAACGTAGAAATATGTATGTTTTATCATAATTTAAAGCAAGTTACATATTCGCAACGTCTTTTTATTGCCGTGATTATAAAAATATATTTTAGTTTTTATCACAAAAAATTAAATTTTAGGCAACAAATAGAAATATTTAAACGAGAGATTGTGGATCAAGAGAAGGAATATAAAACTCAAATATCTGCTTTGGAAACTAAAGCACATGAGCAATGGGTATGTTTTATATACATATAATATATAAATGTGTTAGTTATTAATTATATAATTAATTATATAATAGTAGTTTATAGCATAGCAAATAAAAATATATTGCAGAGAACTCACTTCATTTATTTTAATAGGTTGCTGCTCGTCAGAACGAACGCCGTTTGGAGGAATCGAAAGCCGAAGCCGGCCAATTACGTAATCGCCTTACACTCAAAGAGAAAAATTTATTAAATGATAGCGATATTGAAACCGAATTACATCGTAAGTATTTCCATTATAAAATATTCATCATTAGTAAAGAGATCTGATAAGGAATAATTACAGTTTTTAAAGTAAAGATTTTGTAGAAATCGTAATGTGTAGAAATATTGCAATCTGTAGAGTAAGTCTAGTTTCTTAGCAAGCAATAGTTGAAATCGAATAATGTTAATTAATGTTAATGAGTCAAAAGTGGCCAGGTTCATCTACAGACGGTGGATCGCACAAGATATTAACGCGTCAGAACTGTCGCGTCTGCGTATTTTCCTGTGATTTTCTATTTTCTTAAATTGATTTCCAAACAGGCCTGGAAGCGAATGGGGACACCTCGCCATTGTTCTTAAGAGCAGAATCGTCCAATTCTCCCATAATGTTTAGCAGTTCGGGCGTTCCACCACCCCGGCGGCCACCATCTTATCTACATTGTTTCCCACCGTATCTGCCGCCCTTACCACCCGCCGCGCCTGGTCTACCTCCGTACGATATCAGTCAACGTCCTCCACCTCTCGGCGGCAGATTGTCGTCACCTCCACCGATGCCGCCGCTACACCCTCCCGCTTCTCGCGGCAGATATGAGAACGCCGGTTCTCCGCCATCACCGATGTCTCCGCCGCATTTACTTCCGCCGTATAGTCGCCACAGATCACCACCGCTTCCTCCATTCGGTAGTGATCATATCCCGCCTCCTCCTCTACCCGGTTCAATGTTACCTCCGCCCCTCGACACGACGCATCCATGGGGGGAAGAATCACTGCCGCCCCCGCGCAATTCTGGTTTCCATCCTCATCAACGAGATCAACGTATGCGCAATCATAAAGGTTTGTGAAAGTAATATCGACATTGCGCGACGACATGTTCACCGGCATGCGACACACAGCGTTAGATTCATCCGTTCCTTCCGCCTTTACGGGAAGTTCGTCCGTTTTTGTTGTTATTATTATCTGTCCTTTTGTTTTTTGTGCATGCAAGGACGCAAACGTTTCTGTAAAGTGAGACAGTTTTGGAGTTCTGTGGAAGGAAATAATCCCAAATAGATACCGTGTCAGGTTGAAGAATTTCATCATCGATTTTAATTTATGCTAATTTCGTTATACATCTCTTTCATTGATTTTTAAATGTATTTTTAATATTCTTACATCATTCTTATTAATTATTTGACAAACACGCTATTTTTGTAAACTTTAGATAAACAGGAAATTATTTAGAATTTTTCGTTTTTTTTTTCTCTTTTTATACATATAACTTTTATTTTAATAAAATTTATTTTTGTCATCGTGTTCTCCTGTATTTTCTGGATGTAGTAGATGCACTTTTCTTTCTTGTATGCATCAAAGTAATGAAAAGACATATCGGAAGAAATATATTCCATCTAATTATATGTTAATTTCAGGTTCCTTACATTCTTCGGGAGAATCATTGGACAAGGCACATCATGGGAAAGTCTAAATTTTGTATCTTGCTATTGAACATTTGTACAAAGGCCAAATCTATCACTATAACAGTGAGAGACTCATTGTATAATAATTTCAAATAAATATGTAATGGTGATGCAATTTTACGTTAAATAATAAATTAATAGAATTAATGTATTGATATCATACAGCCATTCATTAAACAGTATCGTCTGTCAATGTGTATTTTTATATCTGTGATTGTTGTATGATAAACTGTTTCGTATTGTTTTTGTTAAGAGTATCAACTTATGATCAGTTATGAAAAAATAGTAATAACTCTTATTTTATGATTCTGGCAAAGTTATATAGCCGATTATTTGTAAAAATTGTTAAAAATATAATTGTAGATTCGATTATTTAATCGCGGAGAAACAAGAGGAGGAAACATATTACCATACTTGCAATTAAATTGTATCTGAATTTCTAGCAATGACATATGTGCATATTCTAGAGATCAGATATTTCAAAAATCATATATATATATATATTAATAGATAAAATATTGTAATAAAATTCTTAATCAATATAGAAATAAAAGATACAATTGTTATATATGGTTTTAAAACCTGAAATAAATGTAATTTATTACAATTATATGTGTTATCAGAATGATTGAAGATTGAATCTACTTTAACTACTTTAAGAAATAAGAAAATAAAAATGATTATCCATATTTTTTTTACCGAAATAACTAAGTTTAAAGATATACTTAATTTTGATATATGTATTATGATATAAAATATTATAAATGGCAGGTGTATATAAACAATTAATTTTTTTATTCCGAATGCTTATATTCCTTGTAAAACGTTATTCGCTTAACTTATTTGTAAAATTTTTTGCCCTCCAGAAGATGAAAATTACATCTATTATTTATTATCTATAGAAATATTTTCTTTTTACATTAGTCTCAGCAGGATGCGATGTACAATTTAATCAATACTTACAATATTCACAATTCAAGGGAGAGGGCGAGGAATGCACAGAATACCTTTCATTTAGCCTACATTATATGAGTCGCAACTTTATAAAAATTGTTTTGCTTCATAACTGTTTCTTTATATCACAAATAGTGTGGATATGAAGATGATAGTGTAATGATATTGTAAATACAAACAAGTATCGATAATGTTATGCCAAAAACACGACAAAAAATATAAAGAAAAATATCAGAACCGCGAATATCTTTATCATTAGCCATCGGTTGTTCGTCACAGACTGAAAGTACCTCAGTATTTCAGTGTGCGCAGCCTCCACATTTAGCTCAGTATCTTCTATATTGCTATCTATCCTGTAAATTATTAATTATTTTTAGAATTTATAAAATATTCATGTTTTAAAATAATTTTGTGTCCTTTTATCTTACCTTTCAACCATTTCTTCTTGTTCTTTAACCATATGTGCTAATTGTTGGAAAATGCCACCTAATTCGACTATAGTGGACTCTATATTTTGCATAGTCTCAGCTCTTGATTGAACATACGCATCCTTGAAGAAGTAAATGTATGTAACACGTTATTTCACTTCATATTAAATTGTTTTATATTCTCTCATCTTTCATATCTGCCATTACTTACAGCATCATCTTGCATAGCTTGTTGCATTAACTGATGATTCATCATTGGTTCCAGATCTATTGCAACGGAATTATTAGAAACTTGTTCCTGCAGCAACAAAGATCCTTGTCTTCCCGAAACGACACTTGGAGGAAGCATAGTGGATACAGATCCTTGAGTGAATTGCTGTCTCCTGCTTTGTTCCTCTCTCATATTCTATATCCAATAGTTTACGCATTATTAATATCCAACTGTACCCATTTCCCTAATTTTTCATAATATTTACATTTCATATTCTTTTAAATCTTCTCACTTTACATTTAATTAATTAATATCTTTTTATACAATAGTAATATTAACCAAATAAAAGCATATTTAAAGAAATTAAAAGAAATTATTTGAAAAAATTGCATTTACATTTGAAAAAATATATACAAAATTTAATATATCAAAAAAAACTTTGCGATCATAACCTATTGACATACATAGAAAAGAATATGACGTTTACTTTAGATTACATACCTCAGAACGCACTTCCAAGACACTTTTAAAATGATTAGACATATTTGCTAGCTTTGATTGCAGTGCCATTACAATGGAGGAAGAATGCGAGGCAATATGATGACTTTGAGAGGACCCATAACTTTCTCTTTGCGACTTTCCAAGCTCTTGCAATTTGCCGATTTGAACATTCAAACTTTTTAGGTCTGTTTTTATAATATTTGTAAGCTCTTCAATCTCCACTTGCCTATCATTAAATATGGATTTTTTCTTGGCCACTGCAACATACAATATAAATCATTAATATATTTTTGCTATTTTTATTCTATTCCTTTATGTATGTTATAATATTATTGAATAGTAAGATTTAGAACACAAGAAGGATAGTAACTATCAACACATGTACTTTTAATGGTAATAAGTATTTCAAAATAAAATTATTTTGTAGAGTCTCTTGACGCGCAGTTTAAAGACTTGAGACCTAAGCCTTATTAATTTCAATAAGACGCTTAGATCTGTGAAAGCAATGATTTGAAATAAAATCATGATAAATTTCTTCCGCAAAAAATATACAATTCTATTGTTTATAATTTCTTCTTGTTTAAGATATAACACAATGCAATTGATTAAACTATTAAATCTGTAGCAAGTGATGTACACCAAGGTTTTGTACATCAGATTCTTACATAGAGCAAGCTTCTCCAGTTTGGCATACGTGCTGGCAATGTTTTTGCCAATGTTCTTGGCTATCATCATGAAGTTCGAGTAGCTCTGTATCTGGCGCGCGCGACGCGGATTCTGCAGGTTCCCGGTGGTTCGCGCGGTGGTCCTACTCTGCATAGAGCGGATCGCGTTGACGAACTCGTTGGTCCTATCGCGAGACGTCATCGTCGTCGTCGTCGTCGTTGCCGTAGAACGTTCGCCCGCTAAGTTGACACTCTCCTCGCTCAACAATCGGCTGTTCGCGTCGTCTCCATCGTGATAGTACCGCGAGTCACTCGAACTCGCAATCGCAAAGTCTGCCACAGGCCCTACGACGTGACGTCTGCGTGCTGACATCGCAGCATCCTCTCAGCTTTCTCCACGTGCACGCATATACTAAGGACCTTAACCACCACCGGGTCCCGTCACGTCAACAGATTGCAGCGGCGACGACGGCGACGGCGGACACGTCCGCATAACCACACATGACAGTTCGCGCAATCACGTTCTACCACACACGCCCGTGACGCATATATATTGCATATACGTATGTATCAATGTGCAATTGGGTTATAGAAAAAGCGCTCTCGCGCGTGTCACGCGTTGGGACCGCGAGCTGCCGCGTGGCGGCCGCGACGGCGCGCCGTTATCAGCATGGCTGAAAATTCGCGCGGCTTTCGAATCAGTGAAGATGCATAGCAGTTTGTAAAATAGTCATTACACTTCACTTTGAAAAGGTTTCGATCTATCAAAGATATTATAGATATTATATTAATATTAATACGATATGATAATATATCTTATGCAATATAAGAAATATATCTATATGTATTAAAATCATATAACATTACAGGAACGTATATTTTTTTTTATAAATTTTTAAAAACATGCTACATTGTGTTGCATTCTTTTTATAAAATTTTTGTAAATTGTTTACGAACGTTTACTTGCTTAAATATCTACATAATTGTATTATTTGGGATTGCTTTTTCATACATTAAAAGTGTCATCATCGAGGAAATTAAAAGAGGACAGAATGTCCGGGAGTATATATAGGAGATACATATTTATTAAATATATTTTTACAAGAATATATAGAATAAAAGTCTCAGCAGCGTTGTACAAATATATATATATATATATATATAGAACCCAGCAAAACACTGACCAACAATAATATAACATCAATATTATAAGTTCTCACTCAATAACGTTACTGCAATATAGCATGTCTTGTACGTAACTATTATATTGTTGAGTGAGAAATTACAACATTAATATTATATTACTGTTGGTTAGTATTTGCTGGGAATAATATCATAATGACACAACCAGCGCCGTTATAATCTATTTCGCATTCATATTTAGTTGTGTGATACGTAATAAACTGGCTGGTGTAAATATTACGCTTGTCGATGAACGACAGACAAGTGGTATAATTAATCACATGAAGTCGATATTATTACGCAACGGCCTTTTTGTGTGAATATAACTGTTGGCCAGCAAACACTGTAGCATAATATGCGACGCGTTTGGTTTCAACACTTTCACCTTATTTTATTCAGCATTCAAGTAATAAAAAAACTAGATAAACGGGAATTATTTCGTATGTAAAAAATGTTTTGAATAAATAAATTATTAAATGTCAATTTTATAATTATTTCTTACCGGTTTCAAGAAATCAACAAGTCTTTACTGCTATTGCTAGATATTGGAAATGTAGGAATACTATAAATTAGGAAAGGTCTAAACTAATCAATCTGAAAAACATAGGAAACCTCAAAATATTTTATTTTTATATCAAAATAATATAATGGACGTCTCTTAGATATATTCTAGAAAAGCTGCCAGTTTTTAAAACGTATAAAAAATGCCTACATCAAGCGCGTATATTAAGCTTTAAATCACGTTAATTTTAATTTAATTTAAAATTGTTATTAATTTTGGAATTAATTGATATTTTATTGCTTTAATATTAAAATAAAATAAAATAATTAGTTTAATTAATGAAAACCACTTAATATATCCCTTTTTAATTCATATTATCTATATATTTTCATAAATATTCCAGCTTATCCTTCCAGTGATAGCAATCTTTATTTTTTTTAATGACGTAGGTAAACGTCGTAAACAATCGATCGTGTCGAGAAGCGATAGAAAACAACAAGAAAAACATAACTATATATTACAATAATATTACTTTAACGCGGTGCACTCGATGGTGTACCGAAGTTACTCTACTACAGCCAACATAAGGATTATTCTTCCTCTTCGTGTTATCAACTCCAATACATCGTTATCGACGTATTCTAACGAGTGATCGGTTGATTTTTAAGCGGTCAGCGTGTCTCCTCCGCCGGACTTCGGTATCTCGTTGTTGAATTCTTCAACCGTTTCAGCGCTCTCCGCCGGTCCTGGCTGTGCTTTCGGCGTAACATCGCCGCCGAGCGGAATAGTATCGTCTCTGTCGTCTTTTATCGTTTCGTTCTGCGGCTTCACGTCGATTATGCGAATTCGGAATGAGGTGCCGCTAGTCTCGTCACCCGATGTGTACGTAGTCTCGTTGATTGTTACCACGTGACCGTCAATAATCTGCAATCAATTAAATTTGCGTACATGAAA